AGGCTCCGCACCTCCAGGCTCAGCACCCCCAGACGCAGGACGCGAGTCAACAGCTACCTCGACAGGCTCACCCGGGTCTACCTGGGACACACCTGAGGGAGCGGCACCCTGAGGGGGGAGGGGGTCTGGTACCTCAGCACCTGGAGCGAGGAAGAGAGGCGGGGGGGGGAGTGGGGCAGTGCGGTAGGGGAAGAGGCGGTAGAAGGGGACGGACTCGTCAAAAGTGACGTCCTGAGAGGCCAGAACCCGGCGCGAGGTGACGTGGTAAAACTGCCATCCAGGCGCGTCGGGAACAAAGCCAAGAAAGACACAGGGAACAGTGCGACGTGAGAGCTTGTCCGCAGACGTGTCGCGGACAAAGGCTCGAGATCCCCAGACCCGGAAACGCGACGCATCGCCAACCTCTCCCGTCCACCGTAGAGTCGGGGAAGTCTCCGGCAAGGAGACACGGGGCCAGAGGTTGAGCTGATGTGCTGCGTACCGGACCGCAAACGGCCACAGAAAGTGGGGAGCAGCCGCATGGGTCAGGGAGGTACGAGCGACCTCCATGACTAAGCCAATGCGGCGCTCAGCAACCCCATTCTGCTGTGGAGAGGCCGGAAGCGTGTACGACTGCTCAATGCCGTGCTCAGCACAGTAGGCTGCCAAGAGGTCGGAGGCGAACTCACCACCCCTGTCAGAGTGCAAGCGCAGGACAGGAAAGTCCGAGTGAAAGCGCTCGCCTAGCTGGAGACGGGCTCGGCTGATCCAGGGGATCAAAACACCAGGGACGTCACCCTTGGCGCGCAAGGGGAAGACCGTGGTGTAGCGCGAGTAGTCGTCAACAACTATCAGGAAGTACCTCTCCTGACCCTGACCACGGACGCGGGCTGGGCCCCACACGTCCATGTGGAGCGTCTGCAGGGGAGCGGTCGTCGGGGGAAAGGAGGAGGAGTGAGGAGCGGCGCGCTGCCGCCCCTCGACACAGGGAATGCAGTCAGGAGCAGGGGAGTCAGGAAGGGGAGGGAGCACCCTGGGAAGACCAGCAACAAGGTCCCGTTTGTGCATGGCCCGCAGGCGCTGCACAGACGGGTGACCAAGGCGGTGGTGCCAGAGGACGGTGTCGTTCGCCAGAGAGCGACACGAGCAGGGGGCGGACAGCTGACCTGACGCTGACGCAGACGCAGCTACCTGAGGGGACTCAGTGGTCAGTGTGTACAGGTCAGACCCCGGCTCTCGAGTGAAAGTAGCTAGGTGGCGGCCCGTCCGAGCACACGTGCAGTGAGTCACACGCTCGTAGGCAGGGGTGAACTGGTGAACACCCGAGTCCTGGAGCGCACTACCTGCCACCAAGTTCGTGGAGAACGAGGGGAGGTAGAGACCTGAGAGCGTGCCGGACGGAACCGCTGGACACGGAAGTGTAGTGGAGGAGGTCGCAAGGACCGGACCCCCAGAGGGGTCAGCAAGAGAGACAGCAACCGGCCGAGCTAGAGGCTCAAGGACAGTGCGGTCACGAAAGAAAGAGCGAGAAGCACCTGAGTCCAGTGTGAAGGTGTGCAGTGCTGCAGTCGACTCAGTACCAGGGGGCACAGACGCACAAGCACCTAGAGCAGCAGCTGCAGTAGTACCTGTGGAAGCAGACACACTAGCACCTAGAGCAGCAGCGGGGCTGGCCTGAATGCCCGGGTCGGGCGGAACACGCAAGTACTGAGCACCCTCTCCACTAATAGACATCGCATACATGGCAGTGAGAATAGCATCAAAGTCAAGTGCCCAAATATCAACACCCTTCCTGAGCAGATCAGCCCAGCGCGGCAGCTCACCCCCACCAGGAAACTGGGTGCGCCACGCATCGTTGAGGCGGGCGAAGCAGCGCTCCGTCTGGTGCGGCCCCCCACACATCTGGCCAGTGCGGTCACCTGTACGAATAACGTACTGGCAGGTGACGCTGCGTCGCGCATACCACTCACGGGCGGCCTGAAGGGTCGGGGAAGGCTGCTGACTCTGACCGCCCCCCGGGCCTCCACGACCACCACCCCCTCCGCCTCCGCCCCGGCCACCTCCACCCCTGCCGCTGCCACGACCACCTCCGCCTCCGCTGCCACCTCCGCCCCTGTCACCACTCCCAACACCGCTGTCACCTCCACCACTGCCGCCACTAGTCTCTCCAGTCGCACCTCCACCGCCACCACCTCCACCCCCGCCTCCTCCGCCACCACCCCCACTCCTGCCACTCCTGCCCCTGCGTCGTCCGCCTGAAGCAGACGCAGCCCCGACCTTCTCAGCACCAAGGAGGTCGACAGCAGCAGCAGAGGCGACAGAGGGGAGGAGGGGGGAAGGGGAGCACCCCTCGAAGAAGGGGCCGCGGGGGTCGCCACGAGAGGTGCCTACAGCGACGATACTAGCCTCGGCTGCAAGCAGTTCCTTCTCGAGGAGGGCTATGGTGAGCTCAGTGGGGGAGCGAGAGAGGAACTGGTCCCTGACAGGGCGCAGAGAGTCAGGGAGGCGGGTGACAACGTGGTAGAGAGTGATCCAGAGCGGGGGGGGGTTGCTAGCGAGAAACTCATCAGGCATGGCAGCGCGAAAGCGAGCCTCACTAGTCTTAAGGTGGGTGATGAGGTCTGCGACAGTGTGAAAGGAGGCTAGGTCGGGGAACAGGTAGGGGAGAGTGAGGCGGCCTAGTGTGGCAGAAGCGGGTGAGGAGTAGCGGGCCACTACAGCTGTGTAGAGGTCCTTAGCAGTCTTGCACTGGCCGAAGTGCTCGCGCTCATCTAGCGGCAGGGAGTTGCGAATAGCAAAGCGAGCGTGCGCGTCACGGGTCTGCCACTGTGAGCGCTCAGCTGGGGGGGCAGTAGCGAGTGGGGCGGTCGCATGGCCGAGAGCGTGGTCGTACAGTGTAATATCTTCCTTGGCAGTGAGCTGTAGGAAAAGGTGCAGGTCATCTAGCCAGGTTTCGAATTTGACCGGACGGCCCTCGGCGTCGAAAGCTAGAACAGGAGGACTAGCCATAGCGACAGCGGCAGTAGTAGAAGCAGTAAAGTCACTGAAAAGGCGTGCGCAGGGTCAGCGGGGCCGGTGGGGCCTACGGACTGTAGTGGCGCACAAGCAGTAGTAGCAGAAAGTGTAGTAGTAGGAATGCAGTGGTGCACAGGCGCAGCAGGCGGCAGCGAGAGCCGGCGTAGTAGGGGCGGGCTCAGCAGCGGTGATTCGCGGGCGACGGCGGGCGCAGCAGCGGCGGTGCGCGGGCGGCGGCGGGCTCAGCAGCGGTGGTGCGCGGGCGGCAGCGGGCGCAGCAGCGGCGGTGCGCGGGCGGCGGCGGGCTCAGCAGAGGCGGTGCGCGGGCGGCTGCGGGCTCAGCAGCGGTGGTGCGCGGGCGGCAGCGGGCGCAGCAGCGGCGGTGCGCGGGCGGCTGCGGGCTCAGCAGAGGCGGTGCGCGGGCGGCTGCGGGCTCGGCAGCGGCGGGCCGGGAGCAGTGCGGGCAGCGTGCGGGCCGGCGGCGGTCAGCGCACGAGCCGCGCAGGCTCAGCGCGGGCTGCGCGGGCTGCTCGCGGGCTGCGTAAGCGGGTCGCGGGCGGCTCGCGGGGGTTCGCGGGCAGGTCGCGGGCTGCTCGCGGGCAGTTCGCGGGCTGTGCGCGGGCTGCGCGGGCTGGTCGCGGGCTGCGCAGGCGGTTCGCGGGCTGCGCGTGGGCGGTTCGCGGGCTGTGAGCGCGGCGCGCTGTGCGGTTCGCGGGCGGCGTGACGGGGCCGATCGGGGCGCTAAGGGGCGACGCGACGGGGGCCGTGAGAGGCCGCTAAAAAAAAATTCGAAGGGGCCGCAGGGCCGCTAGATCGTGCTAGATCGACGGGGCCATCGGGGCCGAAAAGAAGCGAAGGTAAGCAGGTAGGTAAGTCGGTGGGCCCTAAGAACAGTCCTAGCGAAGGACCTGCTCTGATACCATGTCAGAAATAACTGAGCAGGAATGGATGAACTAGAACAGAGTTTGGTACAAGTAGGAAACCCTAACTTTGTGTACCCCCTAAGGTGTAACCCACTACAGCCTAGACAATATAAACATGCAATGTTTGACAGAGCTCATATAGAGCACGAGGAATGTCGAGGGTCACCCGAAGGTCAACCGTTTGAGGAAGTCAACGGTCGTGACCCTTGACGATCCGGTAACCGCGCGACAGTTAACTGACTGCAACACGGTAACTGTCAAGGATAGTAATAGTCGCGGTTACTGTAGCTATGTAATACAGTTAATAAGGGAATGTACCCCTTAGAGTACATGGCTAGTCAGTTGCTATTTAATTCCTTGTACTTCTATCTCTCAATCATCTTGTTCTCTCTCAATTATTATTCAACAAGGTCATCTCAGAGACTTCACTGTCTCCTCTTAGGCTTAACACATCCTATCCTATCCACTGATCCTTTGGTTATATCAGCATGTAATATGAGCAAGGCATTACATTCTGTTATATAGCAAACGCATAGGGCAAACAGTTACCAAGGCGCAACTGTATAACAGTTGCGCTGCGTCGCTTGGGTTGCCTTGTTACAGTCGCGCTGGCGAGACTTTTCAGCTTCGGCAAGGGCGCGGTATCCTGCCGCGCCCCGCAGGTCAGTTTCGCGTACTGTAGACGATGCCTCCTGCTGTCGATTCGACTCTTGAACTGCCACGCGGGTCGCAACCGCTGTGCTCGGTTGCGCCCCGTTGACTCGCCACCAGGTTCAAATCCCTCGCTATGGCGAGCCCCTGTAAGCACACTTCGAACAGTGCACTTATAATAAAAGCATACAAACATATTCTCAACAACTAGAAGTTGGTACATCATTGAAGTGCCAACATCAAACATTGGCCCAACTGATTTGCAAGCTCAATACATGTAGAGCAGAGCACAGTAAAACCTACTCCCTCCACCCTCCCCATTCCTCACCCTCTTCCCCCTCCCCCAACCCCCGTCCCCTTCGTTTCATTGCTTTCCACTCGCTCCCCCGACCCGATACCTAATGATCCCTGCTTTTTCATCATTCACCCAAATCACTTCCTATCAAGCAGACCGAGCTCCACAATCGACGTGGCGGCCTCAATGAGCGCGACTCTGGACGACTGGTAGATGATGCCCATGTCGTTCTCGGCCTTGCTGCCGCTGTACCAGTGCACCACGCCCAGGTTGCGCCGCATGAAGTCGATGCCCACCGCCGGGTTCACCAGCGCTGCCAGCAGCGCCATCCAGTCCGGCATGCCCATGGACGGCAGCCGGTAGTGCGGGTACTTGGAGCGCAGCACGTCTGGCGTGTGCGGGAGGGGGAAGATTGTGAGAGGACAGCATGTTTGCGCCTGCCTGCCATCCAGTCTGGTATGCCCGTGGAAGTTGGAGCAACATATGCTTGGTGGGGAGGGAGAGAGGGGTGTTAGAAACTATACACACATAATACAATCCACGCACATGGGACCAGCCAGCTATAGAAAAGAGGTCAACTTGTGACTATGTATGTCACTGGCGCATATGGTGCATACCAGCCATCTGTAGCAGCGACATGGTGTCCCCGTTGCACAGGATGTAGCGCCCCTTCATGCCGTCCTTCTCCAGCGCCAGCACGTGTGCCAGTGCCACGTCAGCCACGTGCACCATGCCAAAGTGCAGGTCCGGCGCCAGGAACAGCGTGCCGTCCAACAGCTGCTTCACCACCTGCACGATGGAGGATGGGTGGTCAGGGGTGGTGAGGGGTTGAGGCGGAAGAGCTTCAGAACTCGCCTTCCCAAGTGGAGGTGAAGGGTGGTCCAGGAGCTTCACGACCTGCACCAAGGATTAGGCGTGGTGAGGACTGGCGAGGGGTTGAGAAAGGGGGCCTCTAGTGCAGGTCAGACAACGGCAAACAAAAAGGTAAGACTGCCTTTCACCCGTGCACGCCCCAGTGGCAACCAGCCCCAGTGGCAACCAGCCCCAGTGGCAACCAGCCCCAGTGGCAACCAGCCCCAGTGGCAACCAGCCCCAGTGGCATGCAGCGCCAGTGGCATGCAGCGCCACACCTCCCGTCCCCACCTGCCACTCCTCCCGCCCCCACTTGCCAAACCCACCTGCGGGCTGCCCTTGACGTGCTCCTCCCTCAACACGGGCCCCAGCACCAAGGTGGGGCACAGCGTGACCAGGTCGAACCTCCACTCCACGCCCCTCAGCTCGTCCGCCACCCGCCACGCGTACTTCTCAGCCAGCGTCTTCCCCATGCTGTACGCCTCCCGCAGCGACAGCTGGCGGTTCCAATCAGCCTCCGTGAAGACGTGGTCTGACGGGAACATGCGGTCCGACACTGCTCCCACTGATGACGTCATCACCACCTTTCTGTGGGTGAGAGGGGGAACGCGGTGAGAGGGGAAGAGGCGAGGGGGGATGGGCCGCAGGGGGAAGGGGGGAACGAGGTGTGTGGGGAAAGGAGGAGAGGAGAGTGGGTCTTCCCCATGCCGTATGCAGCCCGCAATGACAGCTGGAGGTTCCAATCGGCCTCGCGAATACATGATATGATATGAGGGGAACATGCAGTCTGGCACTGCTCCCACTATGACGTCATCACCACCTTCCTGCGAGTGAGGGGGGCATGGGGGGTTGCGGGGGAGGAGGGGAGAGGGAGAAGAGGAGGCAAGACTTCGATTGAACTTTAGCGAACACACGATTTGAAGGGGACATGCGGTCAAGGGCTGCTGCCAAGAATGATGTCGGCACCAACATCCTGTGGGAGTGAGTGGGGCAGTGGGGTGGAGAGGAAAAGAGCGAGAGGGAGTGGGGAGGTGAGAGGAGGGGACGAGAGACACAGTCTTTCAGATTGGCCTCCAGACCTCAGGTCATGGTTTGGGGCAGGCGGGGATTGGCGTTGACAGGTGGGGACAGCAGGGGAGGACAGGTGGCATGAGGAGATGCAGGCGACGAGATCCCATGGTGCCTCAGGAAGCAAGCAGCTTGTGGGGAATGTGCACGCATGCAGACGAGGGGACGAGGGGAAGACGAGCGGACGAAGTGGGAGTGCGATGGGGATTGATTGAAGGGGATAAAATGACGAAGGAGGAAGGAAGGTGCGCGAAGGGGAGCATGCGGGGTCAGCTGGCTCACGGGTGCCACCAGAATCGGATTGCTCTGCTACTGCCACGCCACTGCCGCTGCCCTTCACCCCACCCCACCCCTACCTCCGCCCCGCCCCTCTCTCTGCTCCGCGGCTCACTTGGCGCACGATGGTCATCATGGTCATCATCGCGCATTGGTGCGTCATGGTCGAAGAAAGTACAGTCAGCGTGCCATCAGTCGCAGCTCCACTGTCCCCTCTTGCTCCCCCCCCAGCCCGCACCACTGTGCCTCCGCCCCACTCCGTCGCCTCAACAACCCTTCCGTCCCCCAACCCTCCCTCTACCCCACCGCTCCCTCCCCTCCGCCCCTCTCTTCCCACCCCACAGCTCACTTGGCGCATTGGTGCTGCATGATCGAGCCAAACACGTTCCTCGTGCCGTCCACACCCCTCCCTCTGCCCAACCCACCCACAACCCCACCCGTCCCCGTCCGCCTCACCACTCATTCCCCCCCCCCCCCCCTCCCCCCAAACCCCAACTCACTTGGCGCATTGGTGTTTCAGGATGGACGCAAACACATTCCGCGTGCCGTCCAGCGCCGTCGCGACGATCCTCTGCGGGTCGCGGTTGGTGGCGGTCACCATGGCCGCCACGTGGCACACCAGCTCGCACCCCTCCACCGCCTCGTCAAAGCTCCCCGGCGCCGTCAGATCCGCCGCGAACAGCTGGATCGTGCCCGGCGTGCCGTCCGCCTGTCGTGTGCGGGGAGAAGACGGAGAAGAAGGAAAAAGAGCATTTAAGGGAATTCACTATTACGTTGTCCAGGACGAGAGACGCCCATGCATCGCCGTGCGGAAACGGGCAGCTAATATCGTCTTATAACGCGGAACTCCTTGCAACGAGTCCGTCCAACGCACTTGAAACCGAGTTTAAAGTTCAGTGCTGTCGCCCGCGCTGAACAACAACCATTTTGACACGCACTGATCGAAAAGACATTTCGAAATGCATTCCGAAGATTCGAATCCGCGCACTATGGGCATTCAGATTCCCCTGTAGCGCCTTACGAGGCCGCGCAGCCAGTTGGTTCGCGGGTCGTCGAGGTCCCTGACGGTGCCGCGCACGTGGTAGCCACGCTCCAACAGCATCTTCACCACGTAGCTGCCCACGAAGCCTGGGGAGGTGGGGCCGACGCGGCAAGGACAGGACATGGGAACGGAGGGTAAGGAAGAGACAGAGACAGTTGGAGAACGGATGAGGAAGAGAGCCGCGTCGGACACTGTATGCGGGTGAATTGGTGAATCGCGCTTCTATCACCATGCGGGTCCTAGCCTCGCTCCCTGCAGCATTGCCACCACGTGCCTGCCGATGAAGCCTGGCGCGGGGAGAGGTCGAAGCGAAAGGAGAGATGACGAGACGGGACAGGGAGCAAGTGAGAGAAGGCTTTGGGACACGTGCACGATAACTACTCGGGTCTCGGAGATGACGGAATAAATGTCGAACACTGACAAGGCTAAGGATGTCTTCGTAGAACACGGTTTACTAGCCATGCAAGTTGGCACTTTGGAAGGAGCACCAGGAATGTCGGGAGAACCAGCGCAAATGTCAGCGTTTTACGAAAATTTGCGAGCGGAAATCACCTGCCGCTCCCGTGACGCAGACTTTCTTCCCCTGCCCTGGTAGCTCGTCTCCTCCCATCGCTGCCGGCGATTACGGTCGAACTGCACTGACGGGGATTGTATCCACTGCTACTGACGAGCTCACGAGCTAATGGCTTGACAAATAACGCGCTGTAGGCTATCCGGTCTAAAAGACCGTGAAATGCTGTACGTGAGTTAGCAAGACACTAAGTCGTAACGTAACCTATCGTAGCGTAACCTAGAATAGCTAGAACAGCGGTGGAATAGATTAGATGCGCGCGGAGCGGCGATGCGGTGAAGTGGGCAATGTCGGACAGCGATTTTCTCGAGGCGTTGAGAAGACGGAGAGATTCGAGAAAATGGCGGAATTGAAATGACGGGACAGGAATTGATGGCTGGGAATGGAGGAGGCCGAGATTTCGGGAGGATATCTCTACGCCGTACGCTTTATAAGAGACGGCAGTCACATAACCCAAGTGTATTCCTCTGTACTTCTACATTGATGTGCAAGACTTTTGATCAGCGGCATAACAGCAACCAGATAGTCATATCCCTAAATAGTAGCTGTTGATATTTAAGCACAGTTGAACAACAAGCACCACATCACAGTGCCGAGGGATGTACAAATTATTTTCACTTCTCTAGAAAAATATGACCCGCACCACAATTAAGCCTCCATAGGCTCGAACACCTGTACCACCATCCCCTCCTTTCCCTTGCCCCGGCTTCTCATCCTCCTCCTTCACCGCCCCTCTCTGCCCACCCTCAGAGCCCTCATTCTCCATCCTATTTATATGCCCCTGCACCCGCGCATCACTCAAAATGCTGAACGTCTGCCCCTCCCCCACGATAGAAACACTACAGTTGGCTCCACCTCAGTTCCCCCTCCTACAGCAACTCCTTCACAGCCAGCAGCATGTGTCGCACCAACTTGTCCAGCGAACACGCCCCGAATGACTCAAACCTGCACTCTAGGTACGTCTTGGCGGCCTGCGAATGCGCCCCAATCGCCATGGCGTGAAATTCCCAGAAGTTGCCTGACGGGCAGGTTTGAAAGATGTGCGGGCCGGTCTGGTCGAAGCCAGCCACCAGCGGCCCCACGCCGTAGGCGCAGCTCCACGAGCGCTGCGTGCACACATGGGATTTGTCTGCTACCATGGAGACAAGGCGGTCCACTGGGAGCGGCGACTCAAAGACGAACCTGCAACGCGATGGAAGGAATGCGGTGTGTAGTGGATGGCAGGCCAGATCCAGGCATGGGGATAAACAGTGAGGGTGGAGAGGGTGGGACGGAGAGAGGGTGGGAGTGAGAAGGGGAAAAGAGAAATGGGGAGAAGAGGGTGCAGACATGGCCAGTGGTACCCGAACTGAGGCCTGAGGTATAAGGCAAGGCTTCCGAAACAGCAGAGGGAAGGTAAACATCAGCGTAAGATGGGCGAAGCAGCGCAAATGAGGGAAGGGTTGTTTGAAACGGAGAGATGGAAGCAGAGATAAAGGAACATGGGAGTAAGAAAAATAAGTGAGAGGCACTCAGAGCATGAAGCGGAGGAGCATTCGGCCGACAGCTTTACGTCCAGCGATGGCAATGCCCATGTAGTCGTCCACGCGGAATATCTTGTGCTGATAGGACGCTAGAGGGGAGAGGTGCTGTAAGGATCTAGGATCGAGCTCAGAAAAGAGAGTTTGAATTGAATGATCACCTGGGTACAACACGAGGCTATATATAGGCTCGACACAAGGCAGGTAACCCAGGTATTACACGAATGTTCTGAGGGTCGCGAAGCGTCCCGAACAGAACCTTCTCGAACTCGGTAAAAAGCGATTCGGTGGCAACCGAATAGCTTGAGTTCGGTACACGTAACCTGGTTCGGTGCCTATAACTATAATAACTATAGTAAAGCAACGAACCTAGGAATTCAAGCAATTCATGCATGCAGAAAATAAACCTAAGCTAGGAATAGCGTAAGGAAATAAAAGCAAGCATGCATGACAAGCATAAGCCGACGTACTCTCACACGTCCCCCCCTCAAAGCTGGGTCTCCAGCCGCAGCGTCCCAGTACCCTCAGGCGTCATCCAGCCGCAGCGTCTCCAGTAGCAGCACCCCCAGAACCAGCACCTCCAGTCCCAGGGTCTCTAGCCGCAGCGTCTCCAGTAGCGGCACCCCCAGACGCAGCACCCCCAGCCCAAGCATCTTCAGTACCTCCAGTACGAGCACCTCCGGGACCAGCAACTCCAGCACCTCCAGTAGACAAAGTACCAGCACCACTCCTAGCTCCAGGGACGTCAGCAGAAGTACCTCCAGTAGCAGAGCCCCGGGCTCCAGCAGCGCGACCCTGACGGCGACCGTACCAGTCGTGTAGCTGCTGTGAGGTGAGAGGCACACGCGGACGAAGGCGGCCACTCCAAGGAGACCGCGCACCAGCAGTCCCAGTACCCTCAGGCGTCTCACCTCCAGACTCAGCACCCCCAGACTCCGCACACACAGGCTCAGCACCCCCAGGCGCAGGACCTCCAGTCTCCTCACGCGCAGGCTCAGCACCCCCAGACTCCGCACCCCCAGACTCAGCACCCCCAGGCTCAGCACCACCAGCAGCACCAGAGTCAACAGTAACCGGCTGCAGAGGCGGTGAAGAAGGTCGCGGAGGGAACCCCGGAGGGGTCTCCAAGCGTGGTGCGCGGCGGTAGGCCGTCGAGGCGTCAGCAGGGACGTCACCCCCCTCAGCTGGGCCAGAGGTGTCGGAAGTGACCTCCAAAGGCTCAGCCAAGGGGGGGGGGTCTACCTGAGACACACCTGAAGGAGCAGGACCCTGAGGGGGGAGGGGGTCTACCGGGCGCAAGGAAGAGCGGCGGGGGGGGGGGGGGGAGGGGGGCAGCACGGTAGGGGAAGAGACGGTAGTACGGAACCGACTCGTCAAACGAGGAGGACAGAACACGGCGCGAGGTGGGGTGGTAAAACTGCCAACCAGGCGCGTCAGGGGGGAAGCCAAGGAAGACGCAGGGAACAGCACGGGAGGACAGCTTGTCCGCAGACAAGTCTCGGACAAAAGCCCGAGATCCCCAGACACGGAACGCAGACGCATCGCCAACCTTCCCCGTCCACCGCAGAGTGGGGGAGGTCTCCGGCAAGGTGACCCGAGGCTGAAGGTTGATCTGATGCGCTGCGTACTGAACCGCAAACGACCACAGAAAATGGGGAGCAGCCGCATGGATCATGGACGTACGAGCGACATCCATGACCATGCCAATGCGGCGCTCAGCAATCCCATTTTGCTGTGGAGAGGCCGGAAGCGTGAACGTCTGGCGGATGCCCTTCGCACGGCAGAAGGCCCGCAGAGGGCCGGAGGAAAACTCCCCACCTCTGTCAGAATGCAGACGCAGGACAGGAAAGTCCGAGCCGAAACTCTTCCTGAGCTGGAGACGAGCAGCGCGGATCCAGTCGATCAACACCTCAGTGACCTCATCCTTGCGGCGCAACCACCAGCAGGAAGTAGCGCTCGTGACCCTGTCCACGGACGTGGGCTGGGCCCCACACGTCCATGTGAAGAGTCTGCAGCGGAGCCTCTGTCGGCGGAAACTCGGAGGAGTGAGGAGCGGCGCGCTGCCGCCCCTCGACGCAGGGAACGCAGGTGGGGGCAGGCCCCGGAGGAAGGGGAGGGAGAGACCGGGGGAGACCAGAGACAAGGACACGAGAGGCTATGCCTTGGAGACAAGGCAGGGAGGGGTGACCAAGACGGTGGTGCCAGAGAAGAGTCTGGTGGGACAGGAGGCGACACGAGCAGGGGGCAGACTCAGGACCAGACCGAGACGCTGCAGCAAACACCTGACCCGACGCAGCTACCTGACCAGGCACAGCAACCGGAGGAGACTCGGTAGTCAGGGTGTACAGGCTCGACCCCGGCGTGGCCAAGTGTCGGCCCGTGTCTGCACACGTGCAGTGGGTCACCCGCTGACGAGCAGGGGTGAACTGGTCAACCCCCCCATCCTGTAGGTCAGCACCCGCCACCAAGTTCGTAGAGAACGAGGGGAGGTAAAGACCCGACAGGGAGCCAGACGGGACCGCTGGACATGGTAGTACAGTGGAGTAGTGGGCAAGAACAGGACCCCCAGAGGGGTCTGCTAGGGAGACCGCAACCGGCCGACTGAGCGGCGTAAGAGTGGTGCGGTCTCGAAAGAAGGAGCGGGAAGCACCCGAGTCAAGGGTGAAAGTGTGCGACGCCTGAGCAGACGTGGTACCGTAGAGAGCAGACTCACCAGCACCTGGGGCAGCAGACTCACTAGCACCTGGAGCAGCAGACTCACTGGCACCTAGAGCAGCAGCTGCACCGCCCGGGTCGGGCGGAACACTCAGGTAACAGTCACCGTCATCACTAGTAGACATAACATACATGGCAGCAAGGATAGCATCATAGTCAAGATCAAAGATAGCAACTCCCGACCTAAGCAGATCATGCCAGCGAGGGAGCTCAGTGGCGTCAGGGAACCGGAGACGCCAGGCGTCTGTCAGGCGGCCGAAGCAGCGCTGAGTGGTGTGCAAGCCGCCACACTGCTCCCCAGTGCGGTCACCAGTACGGAGGACGTACGTACAGGGACCAGCACCCCCAGGCCGCTGACGCCCAGCGTACCACTGGTGAAGCTGCTGGGGTGGCGGGGCCTCACGAGAGCGCTGCTGCTGCTGACGCTGGCCACCACCGAAGCCTCCTCGCTGCGCGGAGCCACCCCGACCAGCGCCACCGCCACCGCCGCCACCGCCGCCACCGCCGCCACCGCCGCCACCGCCGCCACCGCCACCTCCTCCACTCCCACCGCCGCCGCCGCCGCTGCCTCCGCCTCCACCGCTGCCACCAGAGCCCCCACCTCCGCCACCACTCCCACCTCCACCCCCACCCCCTCCGCCATCTCCACCGCAACCACCACCACCACCCCCGCCAGCTCCTCCAGCACCCTTGCCCCCCTTACCCTTGTTGTTGCGGCGCCTCCCACTAGGGGCAGACGTAGCGCCGACCGACTCAGTGCCAAGGAGGTCGACAGCAGCAGCAGAGGCAACAGAGGGCAAAAAAGGAACTGGGGAGCACCCCTCAAAGATAGGGGTACGAGGGTCACCTCGAGAGGCTCCTACAGCGACTATGCTCTGCTCAGCTGCAAGGAGCTCCTTCTCGAGGAGGTCAACGGTGAGAGTGGTAGGGCAGACAGCAAGGAAGTGGTCCCTGACCGAGCGAAGGGAGTCAGGGAGCCGGGTGACTAGGTAGTAGAGGGTGATGTACATGGGGGGGAGGTTCTGGGCACGGAACTCAGCAGGAAGCGCAGCGCGGTAGCGGACGTCACTAGTGCGAAGGTGCGTAATGAGGTCAGCGACTGTAGCAAAGGCGGCGAGGTCAGGGAAAAGGTACGGCAGCATGAGGCGGCTGAGAGCAGCAGAGGCAGACCTCAAAGTCTATCGCACGACCCTCAGCATCGAAGGTAAGAACAGCAGGACTAGCCATGGCAACAGTATGAGCAGGCTAGTAGTAGTAGTAGCAGTAGGGGCGCAGCTCGGCGGTGCGCTTACCAGGGGCTGGTGAGTAGAAGCCCGCGAGTGGTGGGGCAGGGCCGAGGCGCGCCAGGAGGATGGGGGGCCGCGACAAGGCGGGAGGGCAGGGCCGCGGCTCGGCTGCAGGGCAGGACCGGGACGGCGGCGGCGGCTTTCACGGCAGGGGCGGCGGCGGCTGGCACGAGAGCGGCGGCGGCGAACGGCCGTGACGGAAGCGGCAGCGTCAGCAGGGGCGACGGCAGCTGCTGCTGGGGCGATGAAGGGGCCGCTAAGGGGGGCCACGAAGGGGGGGGGGGGCGCAATGGGGCCGCGAAGGGCCGGGAGCGAGCCGCGAAGGGGCTGCAAAGGGGCCGCGAAGGGCCGCGTAGAGGCCGCGAAGGGGCCAGGAAGGGGGCCGTGAAGGGCCACGGGCTGGCACGGGTGGCGGCGATCGTGCGGCGGCGGGCCGGCACGGGCGGCGGCCGAAGGGGACGCGGTCGACGGCGCGCGGCGGTCGACGAGCGGCTAGGGAGCCGCGCTAGAGGCCGCACGAGGCTAGAGCGGGTTGCGCGCGGGCGGGGACGACGGCGCAAGCAGCTAGCGGGCCGCGCGCTGAAGAAAACGGGCCGCGCGCGGGCGGCTAGCGGGCTGCGCGGCCTAAAAACGGGCCACACAGGAGAAAGGAAGGGCGCGCGAGGGCGCTCTTGGAGCGAGGCGCACAAGGGCGCTAGGAAGGGACGGCGCGCGATGGCGCTTCGAGCGGAAACGGTGGGCCCTTAGGAACGGTCCTAGGTTCCTAACCTAGGCTCGTAATACCATGTGAAGAATGAGAGAAGTGTGTCA